CTGTAACCATGTAGCCCTGGTTGGCCAGGAACTGAATATGTAGATGATGATGGCTTCATAACCATGGAGAATCACCTGCCTCTGCCTCTGCCTCTGCCTCTGCCTCTGCCTTTCAAATGCTGAGATGAAAGGCAAGTCTTTTATCAATTTAAGATATTCTTAGGCAACTGAAAAATTGAAAGACCTATAGATAGACTGTGTGACACTCTATTGGAGAAAAGTTATGTTGTGTCTCAGTATATTAAGTGTCAGTTTACTTGTTCACATGTAAAATAGTGGTTTGGTTTAATTCAATATTTGATTATTTTTAAATATAACAAAATAATTCTCATGAGAATAAATATATCATTTTGGAGGTTTACAACATAAACAAAACAACAAAACAAAAAATCAAAGAATAGGCATAATAATCAAAGATCAACTCAGTGTCAAGCTCAATAATCCCATAAAACCATTAAATCAGAAGTCAAAATTTTTACACAGAAAATTTGAATGAACCTGTGTAGTCCCTGCGTTTGTTGCATCATTCTCTCTGAGTTCATATGAAATTCCCCCATGTTCATTTAGAGGGCCTGGGTTTCTTGATATTTTCCATCGCTGTGGCTCTTACACTATCTCCACCTCCTCTTCTCTAGGATTGCCTGAGCTATGGAGGGGAGGTATTTGATAGAAGGTTCTCATTTAGAGTTGAGTGCTCAAGGTCTCTGACTCACTGTAGAATTTCTGGCAGTATCTCTATATATTTTTGGATATTCTTTAGGAGAAACCTTTCCTGATAACATGTAAAAAAAACATTTACATACGAGTACTGCAGAATGTCATGAGGAGTCATTTTATTGCTACATTTTTCTTTCTTTAAATTAGTAGTATATTGTTTTATCCTAATCAAATGGGCTTTCTAGTATCAAGTTTAAGGTCATCTAAGAAATGTCAGGTATGGTATTCATCTGGAGAAATGGCCTTAATTCAAATCAATTATTGGTTACTTGCTCCATCAATCTTTGTTCCACCTTTGTCCTACCTTATCTTACTGGCAGAATACTATTGAAGATAAAGGCTGTTTG